GGGGGGGGGAGCTTGGGTAGTTTGTTTACGTTTGCCTTTATGGAAGCTCCGTGAGTGGGTAGGTGGTAGCAAGTTGTCAGTCATTTCTCAATGTTCTTCCAGAGCTGGTGAGTTCTTCCTTTACTGCCAGTTATGTTAGTGTGGATGGGGTAATTTAAATCTGTAATCGTCAATAGTGCTTATCCTATAACTGCCCTATAACAACTCTTGACTTGTCGTCTAGTAGTTATATGCTTACTGGCTCCCCGTGACCACTACCACACTAAATATTACATGTTAAAGTTACTTTGACCCTAAATATTTTTATTTCCCTTTGTTTACAGGAGGTGCTGGTGGGAAAGGAGTGTGGGGTCAGTTGGGTTCAGAACTTCAAGAAGTTGATGAAGATATGAATGATCCAAACTATGACAGTGACTCTCTTGATAATGGTGATATTGAATTGAAGAGTGTCATTCCTCAAGTATCCGAAGAACAACTTCAGGTCAGCATGTGAACACTTATTTTCTTCTATTACTGTATGTAGTATCTATGATTATAGCTGCTAATTTTTGAGGCCTTGAAGTAAGGCTTATTCATTTGTCTCCTTGGAGTAGGAGTCTTATGGTACCCTTTCCCTCAATTTTTGCCATAAACAGCTTATGGTTATTAATACTACTTTTCAGTTTATCTTATTTTCTATTCCAAGGTCATGCAATTTACTTGTTTCATTGAACCCAAATTCTAGATCTTATCTAGGTAAGCTAGGGTATTTATTTTAGCTCGTAATACTTTTATTTACAGAAACTAGTTGAGCCCATTATACTGGAATATTTTGAAAATGGTGATGCTTATGAGGCTTGTCTTGCCCTTGATGAAATCAACAGTGGGTCCAAGCGGTTCATGGTAGGTCAACAAAAATGCTTTTCTTGGTATTGTGCTGTTTCATATTCTGCATTATGTATATTTTATAAATTTATTGCAGATTGTACAGTTTGCTATAGAAATGGCTATGGACCACAAACCCTCTCACCGAGAAATGACTTCTGTCTTGATCTCAGACCTTTATGGTCGTATTCTGTCTCAGAGAGACATTGGCAAAGGTGAGTAGATACCATATTATTGAGATTCAATGCTGCACCCTTCTTGACAATTTTAAAAACTGAAGGATGGGGTTGGCATTCAAGAGAGGTCTAATGCGAGTGTTCCCTGTGACTGCTTTGAAATTTGGGGTGCAGCTAAGAATTAAATATAATACCATTATAGTTTCTTCACCTTCACTATTTTTCCTTGTAATTTTCATATTTATCTCTTTATGTATTTTACAGCCTTTGATGCTTTGATTAAGAATTTACCTGATCTCATCCTTGATACACCAGAAGCACATATTGTTCTGGGCAATTTCCTTGCTCGGGCAATTGCTGATGACTGTATACCCCCTAAGTTCATCGAAACTTTGAAAGAAAAGGCTGAAACTGATAATGCTAAGTAAGTGCTTAGTGATAAGAATTTCACAGGCCTGTCTTGTTCAGTACCTAACTATTAACTTTTTTGGTCTACTCTTTTAGACAAGCGCTGTCACGGGCGGAAACCCTTCTGTCCATCAAGCATGGTCTGGTGCGCTTGGACAATGTGTGGGGTGTGGGTGGTGGCCTACGCCCTGTTAAGTACCTGATACGAAAGATGATTCTGCTGCTGCAGGAATATCTGTCTTCTGGAGACCTTCAAGAAGCAACTCGTTGCTTGCAAGACCTTGAAGTCCCTCACTTTCATCATGAGTTGGTGTATGAGGTACAGTTTATTTTGCTTTCCCTCAAAAACAGCTTAGGAGTGTTTCAATATTTTTGATTTGTTTTCCTTTGTATGCCTTGTTTTTATCTCACAAACTGTGTTTCTGTCCGTAGGCTGTAGTGATGGTACTGGAAGCCATAAACCATCACACTGATGAGGCCATGTGTAAATTGCTTAAGTCTCTTTCCAATGCAATCATTATTACTGAGGACATGATGGAGAGAGTAAGGATCTCACTTCTTTGCTGTTGCATCATGATTTTATACCCCAATAGTTTTCTAACACACAACTTTATTTTCAGGGCTTCTTGCGGGTGTATGAAGATATGCCAGATATTTGTCTTGATGTGCCACTTGCTTATACTGTGTTGGAGCGTTTTGTTGAACGTTGTCACAAGGCTGGATTCCTCAGTGATGATCTTTTGAAAAAGATGCCAACTCGAGGCCGCAAACGTTTTGTGTCTGAAGGCGATGGTGGACGGGTCAAGGACCACAACTTCCATTAAAATATTGCTGCACAAACCTCTGGTCAATGCTATCAGAAATTATTCACCAGTGACATGTTCTTCTTTCTAGTATTGTTGATGTCTTCTTTGTTAAGTTTCGACTCTTACCAACATCCTGTACTTCCTATAGTCATAGCCTATATAGAAGAAACAGTAAAAATTTTTATTTCTATTTTTTGGGGAAAGTTAATAAGGTTTAAAACAAAGTATTTGCATTTAGCATGTATTTCTGAATATTTTATGTCTATCAGCACTATATGCCCATATTTGTTTTGGGTACTATGTCTTGTTTCTCTCTTTTTCTCTTAACAAAATGTTAAAAGTGATTTTTCATTACCTGTATTGATGTGATTGGCCTTGCAAAGTTGCCATACTAGTAATGTCTTATAGGATTTGGGTTGTTAGGAGCAGGGTATTTCATCTGCATTCTTTGCTTTGATATGTCAAGTGCTAAAAATGCGGTAGTTGTGATTTTCAAGTCATTTAGTCCAACTTTTTGAACTAAGTCTTTTTTTCTTATCATTTTGAGGTATCTCAATTTTATTAGTGCTCATTTTCTGCCTGTGCTAATCCAAAACCTTTCACTTTTAATTTATAATGGATTGACTTGGATTGTTGTTAACATCAATGCTTGTGCACTTTTTGTGCCTGTGTTTGGAGAATTTGTGTTGTACTAATCAGCAGATGATAAGAAGGAAAATAAAGTACAAAACTAAAAATACACCTGTGTTTCTTTCTCCTCCCACTCCTAAATGGAATTTTTATTATTGGAATTCATTCAAAGCTTGAGAAGCCACACGAGTCACTCAAATCTCATCTCAGATTTAACGAGCAACGCTCCACTCATAAACAAATGCTACGTTTCCAAGTCCCATAGATGCGTTTTACCGGACTCATTGACGCCCGCACCCGCCCGCATCCCCTCCAAGCTGCACTTGTACCTGCACCCGGCCTGACCCTGGGGCCGTGCCGTGCACCGTGCAGGCCTGCAGGCGGCAGCTGCATGGTCGCACAGGTGTGCGGCGCGGGTTGTAGCGACACTAGAGTGGAGGTGTCATTCGGTGACGACGAAAAGAAAATTATTCCCCGCACTCGTTTCCGCCGAGTCTGTTTCCCTTAACGGGCCGAAACGTGGGTAAAAGAACCGTCCTGTGGGGGGACTATTTCGCGACTAGGCCACCCGCGCGCCACGCCGGGGGGCCGGTCGAAAGTAGTCCCGACGCCGAGTGCGCTGCAGTCGCGCTCCGCTCGGGTGACGCGTAGGTTGTCGAGCTTCCAGGCGTGAGATCTACAAGGGACAAATCGTTAGCGTCTAAGGCCTTGGATTTCTGTGCCACTTCCCCGTTTGATAACCCGTTCGAAATGCCGTTGAGGTCATAAGCCATGTGAGTACCTCAAGCTACCGAGTTAATTTATAATTGTTGTGCCAGGACGGTGAGCCAAGTCCGAGAAAAGTAGGCTAGCGCGAAAGCCTGAGTCCGCTCACCAGTTGGCGCTTTTCTTATTTGCGGACGTGTTGTTGCTCCTTAAATTGATTTTGCGACGTACTTTAATTGTTTAGGTAGTGGTTAGGACCGCTAACTCGCCCTCGCGTGGGAAAGATTGCTTTACTTACGGCAACCTGTGTTTCTAACCTCCGCGCCACAACATTGGGAGTTTCGCGCCGGTTGTGGAGTGATGCTGGTGGCCTATGGCTGCCCTGGGCGGCTCGCTTGCTTTCGGCCATTTGATGCAACAGGATTTACCGCAAATACTTACCTTGGGTGCTGTTATAAGTCTGCCCTGATCGTGTGTTTTTTTTCTATTTCCATTTGTTTCGACCTGCTTATTGTAGTTAGTGTAGGCTCGCCTCTGTTCCGAATCGCGAACTTTGCGTGGTAAATAAAACAGCTTCAGGTACTTGGTGCACTCTCCCTCCCCTATAAGGTTTTGTTCTCGCATTGTAGGTAGATGAACTGGTTCTACAATGTTTCACTCTTCCCACAACCTTTTGATCTCTTCTTACAATCTGTGAAGTTAACTGTTCTCGTGTTTGTTTGCTTTTTATTTTACATGAGAAGTCTCAGCCTTACGCATAGTCTTCTGTGACACTTAAAGTATTTTATCCTCTCTAGTTTCAGAAAATTACGAGGCTTTTTCAGAACTAGGCTTGTTGGGCTACAATTGCCATTGCATACCATGTCGGAGGCAAGTGGGAAAAAGAAATCTATTCCCAGGACGTATGGTGGGCGATCTGGGAAGAAGATTAAACCTGATCCGGATGATGGAGCAGGTAGAAGTTATTTCATGTGTTTAAAAATTCTTTTACACTGTTACTCCGTCTTCTGACAATTCTGTTTCTTTCTTTTAGACGAGATGGAAGAAGGTACTCCAGAAACTGAAGAATTAGAAGCTCCCTTGTCGCCTGCACCTCGAACAGGTAAGTTGAATTTTAGACATCTTCATTGCTCATTGTTAGTTCTTAGTTTTCTTTCTTTAAATGAAATTTATGTGCTTTACTTAGGTCTTCGAGTAAGAAAACTTCCTCTTGCAAGGGAAAACAATGAATCAAATGAAGAATCTGATTCTGGAAATAGCAAAAAGAAAGCTAAGGGTGGAGTTAATAATAACAATAATCAAGGCAGTGGTATGTTGTGCTTCGTCAGTTTTTAATGTCATTTCCAGATGTTTTACTGATTATTTAAAAATAATTTTTTGTCAATTCCAATAGGGAAAGGTGCTGGTCGTAAGCCTGTAACCCCAAAGAATGTTGTCGACCCTGTGTCAGAGAATGATGGCAATACTGAGGGAGAAGAAGACCTTGGTGCCTTAGATGGGGATGTTGGCCCTAATCCTTCAACACCTGTGAACGACAGTAAATGCCATCATTGTTTTAAGGTCTTTGCAACCCCAGCTGTGAGTAAAAATTCAACTTAAAGTTTAGATTGGTTCCACTGCTCCTGATTTTTATTTTGAATAAATATATATATATATATCTATACTTTGTTATTCTTTTTAGAGTCTTAAGATTCATCTGAAGACCTGTTCAGCTTTGACGACAGATGGGAACATTGGATTGACTGTGAATCAGGGTCTCATTGTCCCTGATCATCTTGATAACATGCATGGTGGGTACCACATTGGCTCTGACTGTAGAAAATGCTCAAAGTCCTTCATTACTCATTGGGTATGTTTTTTTGCAGGAGATGAAAACGATATGCTAGCTGCTGAAAACAATGTGATGGAAGCAGGCAGTTATTCTGCAGAAATGCCTGTTGGAAAGTGTCATTGTTGCGGGGAAGATATTGATGGAGCTCATGAGGTACTGTTCTACCATATGAGTGAAACATATCTCATGCCTTTATGCTGTTCAAATGTATTTCTTCAACAACTTTGTTTTTTGATAGAATGGAGAGTTTTCATGCCACGACTGCAACAAGCAGTTTAAACTCAAGTCTAGTTTGGAACGGCATCGGAGAGTGATCCATGCTGAAGGTGATACGTACTCATGCCCAGAATGTAATGCTCGCTGTCCTGACAAAGGAACACTTGCAAGACACATGTATACCCACACAGGTATGTCTCTCATTTTTAAAAGAATTTTATAAATAATTATTTGCTCATTCAGGATACAATTTATCGTAATATCCTTTATAGGGTTGAAGCCATATGAATGTGAAAGATGCAACATCAAGTTTAGTAGAAAATATCATCTGGACAGACATGTTTTGCAAAGTGGTTGTGATGGTAATGCTCGCCCACAGTATCCTTGCCAGGTATGTTTAATAGGATTATCACCTACTTATTTGACTAGAGCGTTTACCAGAAGGATCTTAAGATACTAACTTTCCTCTAATCTTAGGTCTGTGGCCGAATGTTTAACCGGAAAGACAACCTCCGTGAGCATCTGCGTGCTCATGCTGGTCAGGTGAAACGAAAACGCACCTACACCTGCGAGATGTGTGAGAAGGAATTCCAAGGCACAACCCTACTGCAAATTCACATGAGAACTCACACTGGTATGTTGGGCACTATATTGCTCCCTCACCTATAATTACCTCTCTCTATGTATCTATATCTATCATTTTCTTTCCAGGTGAAAAACCCTATGCTTGCTCATACTGCCCGAAAGTATTCCCCTCTAGCAGTGCAATGAAGAAGCATACCCGTATCCATACTGGAGAGAAACCATATGAGTGCAAAGAGGTAAGTTAATGTAGAATATGACTTCATATATTATAATATTGGCTAGAGAAACTTCATACTAATAGATTCTTTTGCCTCTAGTGTTATGCAAAATTCACAGCTAAGGAGACCCTGAATAGGCACATGAGAACTCACACTGGAAATAAACCACATAGCTGCAAATATTGTGGCAAAACATTCATTCAACTCTCTCAATTACGGGCCCACATTTTCCATCACACAGGTAATTCTTCAATATTCTATGCCTCAGACTCAATAGTGAGTTTTCTGTTCACCGCTGAATATTTTTTTTCTAGGCGAAAATGGATACACCTGTGATATCTGTAGCAAGGCTTTCAATCGCAAGACACGTCTTGACCTTCATGTTAAGTATGTGCATGAGGGGGCAAAGCCTTTTGAGTGCACTGAGTGCAACAAAACATTTGTGCGACGTGAAGACATGGCCCGGCACACTGTTTTGCACTCTGGTCTCAAAGCCCACAAGTGCCCAATTTGTGACAAATCATTTGCCATGAAATCATCTCTGAAGATTCATTTGCTGACTCATACCAAGGTATATTTATCATATCATCAATAATACAAAATGTCTGTGACCAGTTTTTCTCGGTAATCTAATCGCTTTGATCTATCTAGGAACCCCCCCGGTCATGCGATGAATGTGGTCGTGCTTTCATCCGTCAAGACTGCTTGCTGCGCCACATGCGTACTAAACATCGTGACATGCTTGAAGAAATTTTGGCTGAAGCAGAAAAGAAGAAATTGCAAGCCCAGTTGCTTGTTGCTGCCAATGACAACGAAGGGGAAACTGCGGGTCCTACCAGGACAATTCCCATTCCAGCTAAGCATGTTTTGGAAGACGGTGCCCTTGCAGACTCTGTAAGTAAAATTGTCACTGAAATTTTCACTTAGTTGTCGTTTACCCGGAATAAATTCTAATATTTTTACACTTCTTTGATGAATAGGTCCGTGAGCTTCTTACTTTGCTTGTGGATGAAGCAACACTTCGGGCATTTGGCTGGCCAGATGCTCCAGTCGACCAGTTACTAGAAGCAGTCATCCGACGATGTGGTCATCCTCCAGCTGGATCTGATGATCTACCATACAGTGACCGGCTACGTCACAATGCAAAGCTTCTGTTCACTGTTGTTATTGATGATACTGCAGTCAAGACGCTTCTTAATAATCAGACTGTAGATGAAGTTATATTGCATGTGCTGCGTCTTGCAAAGTCATAGGAGAGAGGGTCTATTGACAGCCCCTTATGAGGGTGAAAGTAGAGTAAATCTTAAAAATATTGATTTTTGGATGATAATTATTTGTAGGACATCACTAATTGCATTGATATCTTGGACTTTGTACATACATATTTTAAAGCCCTAGCAATATTTTCCAATACTTTTAGGAAAGAGTAAATTTTTTTATTGTAATGAATATGCATGTATTTTCCTAATTTGTCCATAAACATTGTAAGAATGTTGTTCAATTTGTTTAATGTATTAATTAGCATTGTAAGTGCCTCTTTTTGGAGCAAATCATAACATTTCTGTCAAATCAGCAGTAAAACAAAGTTGTAAAGCAGTAGGCTTCTATGCTCTGACACTGTGTCTGCTAATTAAGACTTGAATCACAGGTGATCATTCAATATTTTCCCTGCAAATGAGTATTATTTAGGTTTTTTCCCCTCTAATCTTATCAGTGCATCTCATGCTAGTTTTAAAGACACTGTCTTTACTTTTATTTTGACAAAGTTAATGTTTATCTGAGCTTGATGGGCTATGCATGTCCCCTTACTCAGTGGGTATTTGTTAATGCTACTTTGCATTTGATTTGTGTTTTAGAAGTTAGTCATCAATCATAGAGGGACCTTGCACCTCATGTCTGAAATTACTAGCTGTAATTTGAAATAATTTCAAGTGAGTTTCTTTTTCCCATTGTTAAAAAGAAAGGTGTTATGTGAGGTTGGCAGGCTCCAATCCTATTTTGTTATCTTCTTCCAATGAATTGCATAACAGCTACCTATTTTCTCTTGTATTTTCATATCTAACTTCTAAGTGAAATTATTAAAGTGTCAAACATGTTGTAATCAACCCATTATCTACCACTATGATAGTGCTTTGGAATAGGTGTGTTCTGGGTGTTACTTCAGACTACAATGGTTGGATCAATAAAGTGCTACAACTTTTAGTAAGATAACTCTTGAAATTCTTTTATTTTCACATTACCAATCTTAATTTAAGCCAACTCAAACACTTACAGTCTAGCAGTCCATAAATTTCCTTCATTCACTTGAAACTAATAAATTGGTGCTACAACAGCTCATTAGTAAGTCACCAACTATTTTGAACTTTCTAAAACCATAAATATACTGTTCCATCTGTAATGGCAATACACCACAGTGTTGCGGGTCTACCCGATCTGCCCGTAAGACGCCATAGCCCCTTGGGTATGAAAACCCGCAACACTATGGAGTATTAGACTTTACACTCGGAACATGCAAACTACCACAGAGCTGGTTGTGTAAGCCTGGCCTCTCTGTCCTTGTTTTTAACATGTTCTTTGAGCATGCCCATCACCTCAGTTTCAAATTCAGGAGGGGTGGGCTTCACACCAGTAGCCCAATAAAATATATCCCAATCATTACTGGGAAGGTTTATGAGACGATCATACTGTTGAAGGTGACTATCGGACATGGTGCTAAGATACTTCGCAGCAAATGTACTTAGGAGTAGACCATTTTCCAGCATACCTCTCTTGCGTGATTGATACACCAGCCTGAAACCATATGCAGGATACCAGATGATGGTCGCTTAAAAGAATGTTAATAGAAGCTGATTAGTGGGTTGATGTTTATACCTGGAACGTTTCAACTGCACTGGTTCATGTCGCTTTTCTTGGTAGATGGGGATGGGTGGTTCTCCTGTCTCTGGGGGAGTATTGGCGCTGTTTGACAGCAAACGAACAGCAGACACTCCCCAAAGTGACTGACTTCGCTGAAATACAGAATGGGCAGATATTAAATATTAAGTACAAGGCGATGTTGGTAAATTCAGTTTCTCACACACACCTCAAAGAGGGAGGATGAGTGCCGCACAATCTTCATCACTGCCGACATATTCTGCAACAAATATTATAAAATAATAATAAATAATACTCCTCCAATTGAACACCATAACCCTACACATTATTATTTGTATTAGTATTATTATTATATCGAATTTGCAGTACCGAAGCCATTGCGGAAACGCTGGATTGTCGTTTTACTGAAAAATTGTAGATGCCCTCTTCTCTTTAAAAGAAGTTGTGTTCTTGAGCGGAATTTGTTTCATTCGCAGTTAACACTTACGGTTTGGCATTTGCACTTACAAGCTTGCATAACATCACACAAGCTAGCAGAAGGAAAATTGAGGTATGTCAAGTCAAACCTCGCCAACGTGCACCGCCTTGCAGCCACTTGTGTCTGTAACTGGACCTTCCTCACGTGACAGGCCGTGTCAGTACGCATGCGCGATGAACTTGTGCGCAGCAGACGATTTTTTTTTGAAAAAGGAAAGTCTAGCAGACGACATTTCAGAGTTGATCGTGGCTAGGGCACTTGAACCCAGTTGAGTGCTCGAGTGACATTAGACCAACCCGCAACCACTGAAGCTAGAAGCTCGGGACAGTCGAGCTTCTCTCCTTTTCCAACCTGTGGCACGCAGTAATCGCCACCATTCTGTACCTCAGGCGGACGTGGGGGTCTCGTATGAGCTCCCACCTCCCCAGCTTCCACTTGCAGCGCAGAATGGAGGTAAGCATTTCGACAACAGAACAGAAAAAGGACAATCAGTCTGATATCTAATCTGTATAAAACTCGATCAACTTGATGTTGAGTGAGACTTCGCGTGCACGGACGATTTTTGTATCGATTTTTGTGGTGGGAGTGGGGGATTGCTTTGTCATCAAATCAAATGTTTGGCACCCCTCATTAATGGAATATTTGTGGGTTTTTTTTTTTATCGTTTATGAGTTGTCATTATCTTCCTCCTGTCTCCATGTACAGGCAATGTGGCCTTTGAGGAAAGGATCCCAGCCTCAACATGAGCAATTAGAGGATGAAAAATCAAAAGATGACTATGATGTTGAACGATGCTTGAAACTAGTAATGATGGATTTCAACACTGAAGAGCCATTAGATGATTTGAAGAGTGTTCGAGTCCACACCCCTATGATCCTGAAATGCAAGGATAAAACAAAGTTTTCTCATTTTAACCACGGACAAAAGCACAGTACGTTCTTATTTTCTTAATTCCCTGATGTAATTTTATACTGAAACTTAGTACTAAAACTTTTGTTGTGTTCCATTATAGATCAAAAGAAATGTGCCAAATGTACAAGACTGTACTATGTTGTCAACATTCTTGTTGAGGTAAACTAAGCAGCGAACATTCGTCATTCCAAGACAGGTTGCATCTCAAACTGAAAAAGTGCTAAAAAAATTTCTCTGCTTTTTCTAGGGTTGTCTCATGGCTTTGGTGAGACAAAGCTTAGAACATGTTGATCTACTCATTACAAAAATGGAGCTGAAAGGTGTAACAGACCGTGCAACCTTCCACCAATATTTGCAACATGGTTTGACTCTTTCAGACAAAGTGGAAAATTTTTACCAACACCAAGATCGAATGTACAATGCCTTCAAGGTTTGTGCTCGTATGCGGCATTCCAAAACTGCTCAAGACCTAATAAAACAGGGTTTTGAACTTTTGAATGAGATGAGAGAGCTCAATAACAAATACCAGGTATCTATTGATAACTTCTGTAACCTCATGGCCGAAAATGCAGGCGTGCCAGTCGAAGTGCATTAAAATATCAAGCAAGCTTTGCTTCTCATTTGAGTCAAAAAATATATGGAACATTTTATTGAAGGTCTCAGCAAAGAAAAAGTCATTATTGTCATTATTGTTATTCCAGTGTTTTTACTCATTATGCCTTCTTGCATTTCTCAATTTCTCTTAGAATGTTCCGATAAGATTCTAAGATCAGTATGTGCTATTTATGATATCACTTGTTTATCTTATCTGATGGCAATTTGCTTCATGGGCTTTAAACTTTTATCCCATTCTGTTCAGATTCCAGTTAACAGTATTTGTAATTTTAGGGAAAGTGATCTCTTATTGTTCTACAACTCTTGTGTATTATTGTACCGGTAAGTGCTTTACTGAAAGAGAGGGAGTGGGTTCTAATTGTGCTTTTAACAAAGTAACTCTCAATCTCAAATAATTTTTACCTCTCAAAACAGTTAAAGTAAGCTTGATCAATCTGATAGACAATTTTCTAGTTTAGGTCCTATTTTACCTTTTTAATCTTATTGTTTAACTTGGTACCAAAAGTCCTCGTCATTTTCTATCTAGGATTCCCTTACATAAATCCAATAAATTCCTTTTTCTTGGCCAAAATCAAATGTATCTCTGTGATACATTTAAACAAAAAGCTTAAGGCCTTTTTTAGAGTGATTTCTCTCTGCTATTTGTAAAGTTTAAGAGAAAGAAATATGGAAGAAGCCCCAAAAATTGCGGATTGAGTTTTTATTAAGTTCAGTTCTTTTTTCCCACTTTGTTGTTCTGTTGTACTGTTTGTTGCCTTGAACAAAAAATAATTAGGGGCTACTTGTTAGGCTTAATCTTGATGCTGAACAGTTTTCCAGCTCTACTGTCTTCCTCATTGATTTCTATGTGTAAATTTTCAGGAAAATTATTCCTTGATTTGAAATAGACTGTAGTTTGTAATGTGAAAATCACTTTCGGAAATGGTTTGGGAAGTAAACGTTATGTGTATGAACCTGTAGGTTGACAAGGCTTATTAAAATCATATACGTAGTTGTATGGGGTTGTTATGTATACTGACTTTTCTGGCAGCCTGTTGTGATATGTATTTTTGTGATCCCCAAATAGTATCTTTGTTTCTAAAAATATTGCTCTATTTTCTTGGAATTTATACTTTAAGTAGTAATATATAGAAATATATCATTAGTTGGCTGTTGAAGTTGCTGTTGTTTTTTTGAAAATATGATCATTTTGAGGTAAGGCTTTCCTTGTCGATGTCGATGTTATTAGTGTAATTATGTGTAGTGACAATCCTCAGTGCCAATGTAAATTCTAATTACTTTGTTGCGGAATATGTTGAAGCACAACTGAGTTTTTCGTGAGGCGGCAATATCTTACCAATTATTGTTTATCTTGTGTATTAATTATTTCTTTTTTTAATTTCCGGTTTTTGAAACCTATAGTGTTGTTCGATTTTAGCTTTGAATTGATCATCTGCAAACATATTTGGTTGTTTGCTGTTATTTCTATTTAATTTGTTTAGTGCCTTATCGAGAAATAAGGATTGGAAGACTTTGTGGGTAAGAAATCATAGCAATGTGATTTATGTATAAGTTGTGATGGTGAATGATTTAAATTTATGTGCAATGTCAGCGAGAGTGAACTATGATGACAGCTTACCATTTCTATAGCAGTCTCATAGCTTTCCTCTTCGCACCATCTGGCTGAAAATTTGGTATTCTGGCTGATATGTTGGTATTGTTTTGGATAGTTTGTGCAGGCTGTGACTTAAATTATGTATTCAGAAAAATACTCTAAAATTGACGGGCTGCTGTCCCTATTTGTCAGTTGTTCAGAAATTCATGGTGTTTTACAAAATGTTTGGATTGAATCTAACGCCATCTTTAAACAAAATGTGATGATTGTCCTATTTTGTGAAACCACAATAGTTCCTAATAGAACTTATGTAGGATCACAAAGTACATGTATGTTCCAATATTTGCTGTTTCTTTTGTTAGTTAGTAGCAGTTCATCTATAAGTGAGTATTGCATGTTGGTTCTGCTTTGTATAGCACACGGAATATGAATCTTTACTTCTGTGAATCTACTTATTATCCTAGAAATTTTACTATTCTCTATCCATAGTCTTTCATTTTACTGTGTGAAAATAAATAGTTGTCAATCAACCTGTCTCTTTCAAAAAACAGAAAAAAGAAAAAAAAGAAAAAAAATCCCAGAGAATTCGCATGAATTCGATCAAATTTCGACATCAGATTTCAGGCTGGTCGTCACCGCCGACGCACCCGAATGTTGGCGCCGCGCCGCCCCGCACACGGAGAGAAAAGTTCGGGTCATACACCCAAAAGTATGGACAATAGTGCTGAGTCTAATGGTGGATTTAGTCTCGTGTGACCCGTTGGTTGCTGAATTCAGACACACTCTTACTTACCTATTTCTGTCTGAAAGAAAGATATTGGAGAAGAAAATCCTAATATCCCAGCAATACTAAAACCTCCACTGGTGTTACCCTAGGAAAACGTTTTTCTCACAAAGACCTCATTGTGACCTCTGAGGTCATGATTTTTGATTCTTGCACTTGTGAGGTAACCGGGGAGGTCACAAGTGCAAAGAACTGTAACCTCGTAAGTCATAAAGAGGTCACAATGAGGTCTTCGTGAGAACCACATTTTCTTTGGGTTAAAACCCTACTTTGTTGACGATGTTAAAGTGAAAGGCCCAGACTGGAGGATCATCATGATTTCATTTTATTTTCATTTTCATTTTTTTTTTTTTTTGTACTGTCGGTCTGCTAGGTCGGCCATGGTCGACGCGCACCCGCTCCCGCAGGCCCCGGGCCACCAACAGCGAGCACTAGAGCGGCGGCGGCGGCTCGGCCGTGTGGCGCGCGTTCGTGTTGATGTAGACGTTGAGCAGGCTGAACCAGCGGTTGACGACGTGCAGGCAGGACGCGGCGTTGAGCGAGCCGAGGCCACCGAAGGCCATCCTGGCTCTGCAGCCGGCCCCCAGCATGAAGTGCGCGCGCGCGCGCCGCGTCGCGGCGTCCTCCTGGAGCCAGGGGCCCTCGTACAGGCGCTCCCGCACGGCCGCACTCGAGTCCTCCAGCTCCTGGCCTTCGAGGGGGAGGGACAGCGTACACAGACCGCGTCATTCGAGTGCGCTTGCTCAGTCGAGTTCCGGGGCCGACGATAAAAGTATTATGAGGTGCCATTCCTACCCGGATATTTCTTTCCCTCTCGAGGATAAATTTGTTTGCGGTTCGTAAACCCCTTACAAGTTTATAACGCCGAGTTCAATAACACCCAGAGAAATGATTAGCAATGGCAACCATCATATGGTCGGCTCAGGGAGCACCATAAAATATGGTTGAGATAACAGTGGCAACGTGCTGAAAATAATATTTTTGGTTCTCACTACCACGGTAAGGTTGCATCAACCATATTTAATGGTGCTCGCTTAGCCAACCATATGATGGTTGCCATTGCTAATCATTTCTATTGGTGAATTGAAGTTTCGCGAAAAAGATCGTGCACAAAATAGGAGTGGAAGGTGTCGAGTGAATGATTGACTCTCACCTGCGAGGCACATGGGCATGAATATGGTGGCGATGACGGCGAAGGTGGCCAGGGTCAGGCTGTCCACGTCCTTGATGTTGACGAGCAGCTCGGCCGTACCGAGGAGCGGCAGCGTGAGCAGGGCGGACACGATGTGGGCGAAGAGGTCGGCGAACAGGAGGCGGGCGCGGCGGGCCGCGTCCAGGAGGCGGGCGTGCTGCCCGGCCAGGAACGCGACGGCGGCGGCCCCGCGCCTCGCCGCGCACCCGCTCTCGGCGCCGAGCGCGCGGAACAGCGCCGAGCACGAGCCGAAAGTGGAGAAGAGCACGGCCAGCATGGTGTAGTACGCGTATATCCCGAGGAGCAGCGCGGCCGTCTGCGGCCGGGGAAGAGCGGGGCTGGGGTCAGCTGCGGCCGGGGCCGGGCGGCGCGCCTCTCGTGGTGCCGGCAGTACGCACGTGTGCGACGTAGAGGCTCCAGACGACCGCGCGGCCGTGCCGCCAGTTGCTCTCGAGGAGGCGCGACACCGCCGAGTCCGGGTTCTCGTACACGGTCTTGGTGATGCCGGCCACCTGCGTCAGGCCCATGAAGTAGTAGAAGTGCGACACCCGGCGCAGCCGGAGTGCGCCTGCGGCCAGCAGGCCCTGGGGCAGGCGGAGGCGGTCGCCCGTCAGGGTGGCGGGACGTGAGACGCGACTCACTCTGCTCAGAGGATGCCACGTCGCGTCGCGTACCTTGGTCTCGGCGGCGCCCCAGCGCTCGAGCTCGCCGGCCACGGCCAGCATGGGGGCGAGGGCCTCGAGCGCCGCGCGCGTGCGGCACATGAAGAAGACCGCGCCCCACAGGCACGAGTAGATGCCCAGCAACTGGCGCAGCGGGATGCGCTGCGCCGCCGAGCTGTCGGCCAGGATGACGTCCGCGGCGAGGCGCAGCAGCCACAGCACAATAAGGGACACGGCCCACTGCAGGGAGGAGGAAGACAAGGCTACCCGGCAAGGCGGGACCCGGCTGCAGCGCGCGCCCGACGGCGGCGGGGTAGGCCGGCCCGCGAGGCACGGGCGCCCGACGGGACGGCCTACCTCCAGGGCTGCAGCGCGCCCGACGGCGGCG